GCCGTGGTCATGGATTATATAGGCCCTTGATAAGTGTTACTTCATTTTTCTGTCTCTCCCTTTGGCTCTAGAAAGCTATTTAGATACCTTTAAAAATTTTTATGTATATTTACACATTTCTCTGGCAGTGAGTTATTTGAGTGTTGGCAATATTCCCAATATTTTATGAAATGTTCTTGGTTATCCTAGTAGAAAAAATATCAGGGAAATCTCTCAGAATCCCCTACATTGCTAGAACAGTAAGGATTTTTTGTTTGTTTTTTATTTGTTTTTCTTTTTTTTTTTAAACTGAATCTGGATCATTATGTCTTTTTATCAAAAAGTCTATATTGACTAAAAATTGAGATGGCTTATTTTGGGTTAGCCTCCTTGACAGATTGTCTTGCTGAACTGTCATGGACAAAAAGTCATAGTAGTTTCCTTCTTTCCCCACCCACTTAATCACACATGTGGTTTCACTGAAGGCCGGAAATAGAGCAACAGAAGTAGGAATATAAATTAATGCATATATCATGGTGGCCATTCAATGCAGTTTAAGGATCATATATTTATTATCATAGCTGGAAAAACAAGGAGCAATTATGCAGCATAATATAAGTCAATAAATTTTCTCTCCTCTTTTGTAATTCTAAAATGTAATGATAGAAGTATATTTGAGATACTGAGATTTTTCCTATGCATAAATATTACAGAGCTTATATAAGAGCCAAATGGTTTGTTTCAGAAAAACAGGTGGTACTTTTGATTCTGTTTAAGCTCTAACTGACATATACCATTTACTTGCTAGTGGAAAATTTTTTGGGTTGTTTTGCCAAGATTATAAAAGTATAAAACTTGAGGAAAGGTTTTCTTTCTAATTAAAACATTCACAAAAATAAAGCCAGTCTATTTAAAGAAATAATTTTTTTTCTGAAATATCTTTGATTCCTTTTAAATCCTGTTCAGAATTTGACCTTCGAAAAATTTAAAAAATTTTTTAAATTTAAATTTTATTGATACTGCTGCAAGTTCAAATACTATCAGGCTCTTGTCTGGACTATTGAAATACTTTCTTATTCTTGAATACTCGTCTTCCTCTCTCTCTCTGTCTCTCTTTAATTAACTAATTGATTTTTTTTTTGGTGGTATTGGGGTTTGAACTCAGGGCTTCATACTTGCTAAGGCAAGAAGAAAAATAGAGGAGATGAACCAACTCAGGTTATATTATATATACCTGTAAATATCACAAGGAAACTCCCTGTTTAGCTATCTTAAACAAAAATTCCATTTTTTAATTTTCATTCACAAAATCAGAGAACAGGTCCTGCCTGGAGGGGAGGGTTGGTACTGTTGGGAGGGGGAGGAGGTGGGGAAAGGGCATGGGGGTAATTATAGTGCAAATACTGTGTATACATGTATGTAAGTGGAAAAATGATGTCCATTCAAATATTCCAGGAATGGGGGAAGAGGGGAATAAAGGAGAATGATTAAGGGGTAAATTCAACTATGATATATTTGATATAGTGTAAGAATATTTGTAAATGCCACAATGTACCCCCACCCAGCACAACAATAAAAAATTAACTAATTGGCTTTTTTTTTTTTTTTAGTGTTTGTTGTACATTGTAAGAGGTTTCATTGTGATATTCCCATACATACATACGATGCACTTTGATCATATTCACCCCTTCCGTGCTCTCTTGCAGATCTTGGGATTGCAGGTTTTAGAAATGGGAGGAATTCTGGGTTAGAGATAAGCAAGGACTTGAAACTTGACAGTAGTTTGGTGGTGACTGAAGTCGTAGGAATGAATGGAATCACTGTGAAAGTGTGTGGAGTCCGTTCATTCATGTATTGAGCCAGACACTGCAGTAGGTGCTGAAATTACCTCAGTGAGTAAGATTGACTGAGATTCTGTCCTCATGGGCTCAAGATGCTAAGGCAAGTATAAGTAATAACAATACACTGTGTTGGGTATTATGTGAATGATTAGGGAGTTTCCAAATGGGTTCTGGGTAACACCAACCTTCAAAGGTTGGGTTTTGGGTTTGGTTAAAAAACAATGCAGAATGCCTACAGAGATAGGAAGAGAAGTCAAAAAGAGTGGTGACTCAGTGAGATGAGGGAAGCTTTTCAGGAAGGAAATTATTGTAATGTTAGCACTAGTTGAGTATTTACATTAAATCAGCTGTTTAAAGCATCTCAGGCATTAACACATTTCTTCCTCATGGCAACCCCATGAGGTATCTTTATTTTAGAGTTGCAAAACCCATATCAGGAGGTTAAGAAACTTTCACAAAATCATAATGAGCCAGGATTAACAGTGTTAGATTCCACAGTGACATAACGTAGTTAGTTTCTTACCTGGGCAATCATGGGCGCCTTGGTAGAGAGGTTTCTAGTGGGTTTTTTGTCTGGCTCCTAGATTGCAGTGAATTGAGAGATCATTGAGGAGTTGATGGAGCAGAGATAGCAATTGTCAGTTACTTTTTTTGATGTTTAGAGTACTCTCCTTTGCCATCTCCTGCTTCTTTCAGGTAAAATTCAAATCAGACCAGATTCCTTCTTTATTTTCCTAGTTCCTCTCCTTTTACCAGTGTCCTGCTTTAATCCATCTTGCTGTGGATCTTTAATCTTTCTTGGCATATGAATTGTACTCAAATCAACTTTGGTTTTTTTTTTTTTTGTCAGAAATGGGATTTGAACTCAGGGCCTTGTACTTGTTAGGCAAGTGCTCTATCTCTTCAGCCATGCCTTCAGCCCTAATTTTTTTTTAACTCAGCATTTTAGTAAGGTTGCTAAACCAGATAGGTAAATAATTTGATATTAAAATTCTGAAACTAAAAGATTTTTTTTTTAGGGAAGTTTGTTGAAACCTGGGACTGGTGAAGTGAATTAATTCTGATGTTTTAGAACTAGAATCCCCTTTCTGATAATTTAGTGTATTTTCTTATTTCACAGCTGAGGAGAGATTGCATGATAGGTACAGGATCATGTATTTAGTGAGGTATAAACTATGACCCAACCATCAGATCTGAAGATGGTTCTATACTGCCATTACTATTGAAAGCAACTTTTGAAAGTGTTGTGGGGGTGTCCAGAATAGACCTGGCTCCTGTGATCATTTAAAAATACACCAGTAATATAAATGAAATGAGAACCACAATACACTCTTTGAGGGTATTCTGTTTAATTTCTGTTAAGGAGCAGTAAGAAATGGAACTAACAGTGATATACACAGTGATTTTTATCACCTTGTTCATATTTAATACAGAGGCAAGAGAGTATTAAACTCCAGATAAAACAGATTTTCTGGAGTTGTAATATTTTGAGGAAAGTACATTTTTAAAAAGGGAAACTTAAGTTTTTGTTATACTGCTTTCAGTCCTCATATGTAAGAGCATATTCATATGCATGGATTTTTCCAAAGTGAACTAACTACAGATCAGCCCCAGAGCATTACTAGGTTTCCTAGCCACTACCATCTATCTCCATTTGAAAGGCAACCCCTGTTTTGGCTTTTAACACCATAGGTCAGTTTTGCTTGTCTGTAGCAGTAGTTCATTTTTATTCTGTACTAGTAGTTGTAGGTAGGTACTCTTATTTTCATGTATATAACATCCTTGGACAGAGGCAGTGAGTGCTTTTGCTTTCAGGATAAGCAGGGATGTGAACGATGGGAATTGTCTTTCAGCATTTTGGAAGGCAGAAAAACAAGTGAGTATTTGTTAGGCCTAAATAAGTGATTTTCAGTTTCTAGATGTTAGGGGATCTATTTTTTGAATGTTTGTACTATTCATGGTTTTTTTCATGGAGTGAAAAAGATGCAACCTTTGGTTTTGGGAGTATATGTCTACCCTCCTTTATCAATTTGTCTGTTTATAAAAGTTCAGTCAAGTGAAAGCAACTCACATAATGAAGTGCTATCATTTTAATTTAGTAACATTTCATTGAGGTATCACACTTTGGACAAAAGTTTAAAAATGTTGAGATCTAGCTGACTTTTGAGATTTCAGATTGGGTTTCTGAGACAAAAATTCTTCAGAGTGGTATGTCATTGTACATAGGAACAGAAATACAGGGCCTCACAAGGAAGTACTCTAAGGCAAAGGGGACAGAAGGACTTGACTGCTCTCTAGATTAGAGGCTGTTGTCACAGATCAGAGGGCTCTAAATCTCACACCTAGTAGTGGAAGGAGATAATTGGGATATTCAGTCCTTAGTAGAAACAAAGAACTTAGTGTACTTAACTTTTCAGTTTGGTACTATCTCAAGTTGTTTTGGATCTCTCTTAATTTGACTTCCTGAGCTTCTTTTCAGATCTTTTAGTATGCTATTATTCTTCATGCTAATTCTCTCTCTTTTAAAACAATCTTTTTTTTTCTTTGCTGTCCAAATAACAGGCTTTCCTAAGATTTAGCCTTTGGCTATTGTTCTCCATTACTGATCTCTCTCAATGCTCTCTTATAACATCTCTTTTACTTGTGTAATGTCAGACCTCATGTGTGTACACAACTCTGAAGTCAGCTTCTCTCTTGCATTCCAATACTGTATTTCCTAGTGCTAACTGAATATTTTCTTTCAGATCAATTCCCAGTACCATTACAAATCTTGTGACTCTGGCTTTAATGTATTCATGAAAAGGGCAGTGGCAAAAGGCATGTTAATATTTTACTATTAGAAGACGTTCCCAAACAAATTATTATGACAAACCTTTTTGGTCTTCTCTATGGGTGTTGTTTTGTAAGTTCTGTTTCATGTTTATAAAATATGTCATCTCAAATTTAATTTCTGTTTGCCATATTTCTACTGCCAAAACTTAAGCGCTTGGAGATTTGCCCTTGTCCTCCACTTTCTTCCATCTTCTCTCTCCCTTCATCCCTCCACCCCATACACGTATGCAAGCACAGAATATTTTAAATGCTACAGTGTGCACAGAGTTTGGGCTTATTGGCATTATTTTCATTCAGTATGTATTTGTGGAGTAAAAGGTAAATCTTGTGTTACTTTCCTTTTTGTAGGTCTTTATGCCTTGCGAAGAGTCCTGAAGAAACAACCTGATCTCCCTGATAGCAAGGTGGCTGGGTTGGTGAAGATTACTCTGAGTGATTTCTTGCAGGGAATGAATGATATCAGGCCCAGCGCTATGAGGGAGGTAGCAATTGATCTCCCAAATGTAAGTAATTTATACTCCATGCCAATCATGTTGTAGAAGTAGACGTCTCTTCTAATTTTTTACAGATTAGCTTGTTCAGTAGAAGCCCTCCACCACTCAGCCATCAGGAGATTCTGATGGCCATCAGGGAATTCTTCAGGCCGTCTTGCTTCTGAAGGCCTCAAATGGCTTGGCCTAGTTCCTGAATCAGCAAATAGGTGCACCCTGGCATCTGGATCCATGTGTACTGGCCTGGAACCTGAGTCTGTGGGGGTTGGGCCTGGAGCAATGGGACAAGTCTCAGGCTGGAGTGCACCTGGTGTTAGAATCTATGGCAAAGATTCTAACACCAGGCTTTCTCCTTCTCCGATGGAGAGTGTCTTTCTACATGTTCTGCCTGGGCTTGGGTAGGGTGAAGTAGATTGATACTATAAACTTTTCTTCCTGCCTTCTTCAGTATATAGTTTCTTTTTCTTATTCTTCAACCAGGTGGTCAATCTCACGTGTATCCCTTAGTTCTTGTGAAGGTATTTTTGTGACTGGACAATTGTTGAAATTGATGTTTCTCTAAGGGACAAGCAGTGAAAAGTCCTATTTTGCCATCTTGCTAACATCACATTCCTTCCAGTCACACACTGTCTTGCCAAAGCTCTAGCATTGTAGTTGTTTGTAAACTTGGAGCCATGTTAGAGAACCAGTCATGGTTTATACCCTTTCCCCCATCATGTGTAGGCATTTTGGTATTCTTGGTCATTAACTAGTATTTTTTAAATTTTTGTCAACTGAAAAAAACATTGCAAAGATACTAAATCAATGGAGTAGACTATGTAGAATGATATGAGGAGAAACCAGTGGATTCGTTTCAAAGTGACTGTTCCTTAAAAATGTGTTTTGTGGTCAAATAGGTTTGGGAAATATTAGTTTAAGTAAAATCAGTTGTGTTTTTGCTGCTGGACTTCTCAGAGTATTTTAATATGCTAATGTACAGCATGAAGTGAAAAAAAGGTTGTTACTTGGCTACGGACCACGGGGATCAGAGACTTTTTTTTTGCATTTTATAGAGTGATTGATTGAAAAAAAAAATAAAAGACTACAAATACTTCCTACCCTGTGTGTTTGCTCTTAGTCCAGCCATTATACCAATTGCCAGACATTTGATGCTGGGGGCTATCCCATCCCATCCCATCCCAGTGGAAGTTTGCCTAGCCCAGAAGGACCACACATTTAACCTCAGAAGTGTCAGAATAATAAACGTCTGGTCTAATTCATTACATTTTTGGATAATTAGGTAGAAGAAGCCAAGTGATAAATATTCCTGCTAACTTTTTTTTTTTTTTTTTTTTTTTGATGGTACTAGGGTTTGAACTAACTTGAGTCATACCTCTAGCTCCTTTTGCCTTTGGTTATATTTCAGACAGGTTCTTCAGAGTGGTCTTGGACTGAGATTCTCCTACTTCATGACTCCATATAGTTGGGGTTACAGGCATGCTCTACAATGTGAGCTTGTTTGTTGGGATGAGGTCCTGCTAACTTTTTGCCCAGTGGCCTCAAACAGTGATTCTCGCAATCTCTTCCTCCTGAGTAGTGGGGATTACAGGCATTGGCCACCACTCCTGGCATTTGTTAACTTCTTATATGACAAAATTGTTCTGTAAATTTAGGCTTGGAAACAATATCTTATAGATAGAAACATTTCCTAAGGACTTACTCCAGATTTAGGGTACTTGATGTTGTTTTGATTTCTTTTTTTTTTTTTTTAAGTTTTATTGAAATACAGACAGCCATGCTTATGACTGTTTCATACTTTAATGGCAGAGTTGTATAACTATAAATCTTGGTATATCCTCCCAGAACTTTTTTTGGGGGCAGGTACTGGAGTTTGAACTCAGTGCATCACACCTGCTAGGCGGGCACTTATACCACTTGAGCCACTCTGCCAGCCCTTGATTTCTTTTTGAAAGATTTTCAAGTTCATTATTGAATTTATAATAATTTTGGGGCTTTCAAAAGCTGTGTAGCATACTCATTTAGGTATAGCATAATGAATGATTGAGGTTGGTTTAGTAGAAACTTTAATTTCTCTAGAATTTATGGTCTTAACATTTGGGCACATTGACATGAATCCTTTTTTTTTTTTTCATTTTTCTTTTATTATTCATATGTGCATACAAGGCTTGGTTCATTTCTCCCTGCCCCCACCCACTCTGCCCCCCTCCTCCCCGCCAATACCCAGCAGAAACTATTTTGCCCTTATTTCTAATTTTGTTGTAGAGAGAGTATAAGCAATAACAGGAAGGGACAAGGGGTTTTGCTGGTTGAGATAAGGATAGCTATACAGGGCATTGACTCATTGATTTCCTATGCGTGGGTGTTACCTTCTAGGTTAATTCTTTTTGATCTAACCTTTTCTCTAGTACCTGTTCCCCTTTTCCTATTGGCCTCAGTTGCTTTTAAGGTATCTGCTTTAGTTTCTCTGCATTAAGGGCAACAAATGCTAGCTAGTTTTTTTAGGTGTCTTACCTATCCTCACCCCTCCCTTGTGTGCTCTCGCTTTTATCAACATGAATCCTTTTATTCATAATATTTATCTGCTTTTTATTGACTACAATTACATAAAACAATGGGTCAGATAGACCCCTGAATCATCAATTGCCACAAATGAAAATTTCAGATGGTAGTTATAAAGTAGTTACTCCAACCAAAGATATCAAAGAGTTTAAAACACTTAGGTATTAAAAAAACATACAGTAGAATTTAAACTTAAAATTACTGCCAGTGGAGAATATGTTTAATCAGTGCCTGTCTATTCTTATACTTGCTAACCTGATTTATTCATCATAGGAACTGCTACTCCAACTGCATTTTTTAATTGCTCTAATGAAAGATTTTCCCTTTATTTTCTTTTGATACAGTATTTACAATCCATGGACTTGTGCCATTTTCCATTTGGCACTTTATTATTTGGCTGAAGGCCATGGTGTACTGTGATGTTACTCATGAGCTCTGGAGTGATTAACACTGGTGAAAGTACTTTCTTACAGTGCTTTTTAATGCCTGTTTCACATTGTAAAAATTTTCCCTAGAAGTCAACATTTCTATAATTAGATTTGTAAACTTTACTTTCCTTATTTCTGGCTATTATATCTATAATAATATTTCCAAATTACTTCTATAGAGGTTTAATATTTATTTTGCTAAAGAAGACCTGTTTTAAGACACTAGTAGGTTGTGAGCATTTTTAAGTACTGTAGTAAATTGGGCATCCACCAACTTTTGAGAAAAGATAAGTGTATGAGATTAAAACTTGTAAATCACACACGCCTTGTTACATTTAAGTTTGAAAGAAGTATGCTGACTAGGATGGAAAGGTTGCAAGTATAGTGCAGTGCATCATTATTTTAGGAGACTACACGCACAGCTTGCGTAATGTAAACTCACATGTTTGCTTGCCTACAGGCAACATTTCTTGCTTTGGGATTTCTCAATTGGTTAGTACAGTGACATTAAAGTCAAATGCATTTTTTAAAATTGCAGTAATCCTTAGACTCTGGGAATTTGCTAATATTCATTGTGAAATTCCAGTTGTCTTACCCAGAGATAACTGTTAACATTTTGGTATAGTTTTATAAGATTTTACCTGTGTCTATGGGTATTTTGATATAGTTAATCTTAGGACATATGTAGCTTTTATTCTTTTTCCACTTGGACTTATGTATATAATAAACATTTTACTTTAAAGATTCTTGGCACACTTCTTTTTAAATGGCTGTACAGTGGACTTTTATATGGATAAACTATTTTATCCTTCTACTCTCAAATATTTAGCTTTTTTCTGTTTTTGCATGCAGTTGTTATAATGATGTTTATGTTCAAATCTTTGCATTTATGATTCCAAGAAGTGAAATTACCAGGATAATAACATTTGTGACAAATGTCATTAAGTTTTTGTTTTTTATTTATTTTCTTTTTTTGTTTTTACAGGGAAGCTGTGCTAATTTATAGTCAGGTGATAAAAATTTCAGAACAAAATGCTTAATCAGAAACTCGTCCTGTTTTTACTTACTCCTTTTCTCTTTTTACTTTCCATAGAGTTTATTTTCTTGATTAAAAGATCTTTATTGGCCTTATGTAGTGTTCAAACCTGTAATCCTAGCTAATTATGAGGCAGCAATTAGGAGGGTTGCAGTGTGAGGCCAGGCAGGGAAAAAAGTTGAGACTCCATCTCAATGGCTGGGCATGGTGGTGTGCTTCAATCCTCCAAGCTACATGAGGAAGCACAAATAGGAGTCTGACTTGGGTATAAAAACCCTGTGCTATAAATAACCACTCCAAAAAAGAGCTGGTGGTGGTAGAGTGTCTGCCTAGCCAACCACAAGGCCCCGATTTCACCCCCTAGTACTACAAAACAAAAAAACAAAACAAAAAAACCCCCACAAAAACCTCCCAGATATTTATTTATTTGTTTGTTTGTTTTTTTATTTTGGGTGTGTATAGAGCAGTTTTATCCAGTAACTCCATGCTTATCTGGAGTCACTTCATCTAACAAGTTTCTGTTGGGAGCACAGCTGGAGGAGGAGAGGGATGAGGAAGAGGTGGGAAAACACCCCAAAATATTTATTGTGAGGAATGATAAGGAATAATCCTCAGAAGAAATACAGATTTTACAAAGGTAATTAAAGATAATTAATATTAACACATTTTTCCTCCCTTTAAAAATGGTAAATTTTTAGATAAAGAGTATAGTTGGGTCATTACTTTTAATGGATTTTATGTTCCATGAGAACATAGGTTCTTTTATTTTTACCCTTAGTACTTAGCACCTGACTAACACATAGTACATACACATCAATATTTGTTTTGAATGAATAAATAATTGTAATTTTCAAGAAAAACCTATCATACATGGTAAATTTCAGATACATGTGAAAATGACTATCTTATCATATACCAAAGCACAATGAAATCTATTATTGCTTTCATGTAACATTCTATAGGCTTTTCACAACTTTTTTCTTCTTTTT